TCTCCTGAATGTGACTTTTCCCAGAAAACTCTTGCAGCCTAGAAAAACATTTTCCATCATCTTGAGCATACTTATAGACAGAAATTAGACCTCTACAAAAGCAGAATTGTCCTCTATCAATCCCTAAGCCACCTTTGCTTCTGATTCTGAACAGACCTTGTCTTTGAAATAAATGCATGCAGTAACCCAGGAACAATAGTCTACACTTCAGTCTAAACATCCTTTTGTATCCTTTAGCTTCCTTCCAAGATTTTATGCTTTTTCCATTCCCTTATGTATAGACATATGAGCATGCAACAAAGCTTTGTGAGTAATTTTGCAAAACAGTTGCTGGATCAACTGGGAGAAGAGCTACACTATCTTCCTTTCTGCAGATGGAGAGTTAACAGATCATGTATGGAATACCAATGGATTTTGAAGATGCTGGTATGGTTCTTTACATTTGCTCAAGGCATGTAATTTGTCTGTCCTTTCGTCCATCACAACAGGGAAATAATAAGGCTGTGAGGATAAATACTGGTGCTTTCTGGAGCAATTCAGAAGCTCTTCAAACACACTGACAATAGGTACTTCATCCTACACGTCTGTAGGGACTCTGCATCATAAGGACCCTGCATCATCTATACACAAAGCACAGCTGCTGTAAACACATACAGAGCAATTGCACAGCAGTGATCAGTGGATTCAGTGGGTGTTGAACTAAGAAAGTTGGTTGCAGGATCTTCTTCCAAGTGGAACTTAGATTCTGAGCATAGAGAACCCTCATTTTGAGAAAGCACCATGATCAATACTGTATGGGGCACTCATAGTCTGCAATGGTGAAGGTCACATTAGTTTTCTGGATAGGCAGGTCATAAGCTAGAGAGAGGATCTAGCTGTCTGACAAAAGCAATGATGAGTGGAGAAAGTAACAGTGACCCGGACTTTCCATTTACAAGTGCTTACTACCACACGAAATAAAAAATATTGGTGCTTTGCCCAGCTGACAAGTAGAAAATATAAATACAGTGCAAACTATTTCATGGCAGATCTCTGCTTCTGCTGATTGACAGTGTCAAATCAAATGGTTACTTAGTACAGATCACTCATATCACTGCTGGGCACACATGAGGATGCCATCACACTGTATTTTTTTGTACAAACAGAGGCAGTGAGATGGTCTCTTGCTCACAGATCTTTCAATTTAAATATAAGGTAGGAAGAAACAGAAGAAGATAAAACCAAATAGGTACTAAAAAAGCACTTTTATTGTCAAGATAGAAAGTAGACTCAACACTGACCAAGTTCTTCTAGGCCTTGTAGGCAAAAACAAATTGAGGAGGCTTTGAAATAAGCCATTTCTTTTTTCTTTTCTTTTTTTTTTTTTTTCAAATACTCTTCAATCTTTATTGTTTGCAAAAGGCTTTTTCTAGTTAATTGGGAAATTATTGCTTTTTATTCTGTGAGGCCATGCAGACAGGTGCAGACAGATACAAGCAAACTCTGCTCATGCTCAGAGCTGCCCAGACATACGCTAGCTTCTGTCTAGAAGATGTAGAGTCATGCTAATGTGGCAGCATGCCCAAACTAACATACCCTGCTTCTCAGCAGTGCTCATTAGCTTAGGTTCATGCAGTTATCTGCTTCTGGACTGGGGCCTTCCGGTGTCTGACAAGCTAAGTGCGCTGGCAGAGTTCTCCTGCCTCTCTGGCCTCCTTTATGTACACATACCTTTATGTCATTACACGTTGTCACTTTTTGTTGAGAAATGGACTGTTAAAAATCACTGACTCTCTTTTCCTAGTTGCACTCCTAAGGAAACTTTTGCCAGTCTGCCAAGATGATGAAAACATACGAGAATCTCATGGTTCAGCTCGCACCATCACCAAAGCAGCAGTAATGGCTGCAGAATAAGCTAACTCACGAGCTGCCAAAGCGCCGAGGTAGGAAACAGGAGTATGGATTACATTCTTTATGAAGCCTGAGTACAGACCATACGACCCTCAGCACGTTCCTGCAACGTGGCCAAGAACCAGGTTGCACTCTCATGCCATAAGTAATCCAGCATCTGCCCCCAGTGGCAAATTTTTGGGAACACTGTGAAAGACTAGATTTCCTCCAGTTCCCAAAGAGGAGAGAGGAAGACCCAGCAAAGTGTCCCACTGGTTCATCTCCCTTCCCGACATTTAAGGTGGCATCAGTTTTCCAAATACCAGAAAAAGAGACCACTGTTAGGACCCATAATCCATCTCCTAAACTAAATGACAAATTTGACTGGTTATATGTTGAATTATGTGTACTGTGGAAAAGACATAGGATTCAGTCCTCACAGGTAATATTGGATATGGGAAACTACACTCAATTTATCTTTTACCTGTCTATCAGATGTAGAAAATTGCACTCAGTAATATGAGAATGTTGCTGAGAATGTTGCTGAGAATGCAATGTGAAGGATTCAGTGGGGAAAGGGACAATCCAGGTTACTCATCAGATTTTAATTCTGCCTCCTTGTGGTTATTTCACTAAGCTACTCTCACAATTTTCCATGGGATGTCTCCATTCATCAGTAAATATTTGCACAAGGGGCAGTATAAAGATTACACAAGGAGCTCTAAGCATGGCGCTTTTTTCTTGGTTTTGCAGCCTAAATAATACTCTTTAAACACAGCTTTAAAAAACCCAAACATATCAGGCACATATACTTTTACAATAACATTTATACTAACATATATATATGAGAAATTTTACTGTGGTTATACCCTGAGTCTCTTGTGCAAGCAAGTATACACTTATTTGGTCCAGTCTCCAGGCTGCTAGGAAGCTGAAGCTGCAGCTCATGCATTCCATTAGCAGGGCCTGTTAGCTGAGGTTTACAGCTGCACTAGCTATGGCTACACAGCTTCTCCCCAGCACAGAGCACACGTGGATCTTTTTCTTGTAGGAGAGCACATACACAAACCTCCTGCTGAAGAATTTTTAAGCTGAGCTTAAAAAAAAGAATTTTTAAGCTGAGCTTGAGAAAGCATTCTATTCAGGGCAATACTGGAATAGGCTGACACTTAAGTCCTTCTGAAACCAGAGGGGTAATCTGTGTTTAAACTTAGTCCTATGCTTTAATCTGCTTTTTTACTATTTTGTTATCCTTAACAGAGATAAACATAAGCATGTGCTTTCCTGACTGGAGCACTGAAAACACTAACATGCAGCAGTTCAGACAGTGATTTACTGGTGTCAAGTCTAGCCCTTATCAAAGAACAATAACCTAAAGAACAAGCATTACATCTAGGAAATAAGATGCTGTTTTTCTTTGTAATTATATCACATTGCATTAGAAAGTAAATCCTATGCATGTAACAGAGGAAAAGCCCTTGTATGATTCAAGTAATCTTACTGAAAACTATCCAAATTAGGGAGTTTCAAATTTTATATATTTGAATTTACATCTAGTTTCTTCTTTTGTGCTGAACTCTGAAATAATTGGGTAAATGCCTTTTTAAAGGTTTAGAGAAACGTCAGTCTTAGTCTTTTTCAGCAGGGGTCACTATAAACAACTCTACAAAAAACTGCCACCATAGAATTCATATGCCAGGACAGAAAAATTACTGATTATAGATAAGGAATGGTGTCACTGTAGGCGAGCATGAGAAAGAAATCAAAACATTTATATGTAGGTAATTTCTTTTAAATCAGTTGTACAAGCTTAGCCCATCCTTACAAGAACAGTGACCTAATTTCAAACTATTTATAGAAGAGAAATAAAGTTGACTGCATGATATGTACTTAGACATAGGAATTTTAATGCAGTACATCAAAGGAGTCAGATGACACAGGCAGTATTTTTATATTCTGTAAAAAGTTGCACTCTAAGTATTTCAAAATAGCATCAGAACAAGTATTTAAATACGATTATTAAGATATTTATAGTCACAATCTTTTGTCCTTAGATATATAGTGCACCGAGTTCCAATATTTATTTAAAGGTTGTTTTGACACAAGAGTAGAATATGGTCTGAAATATAAAAAATCAGAACCTTATTTGTTATAAAGGACAATGTTTCACCTGAAAAACTGTCACATGTTCTATCGTGAATTCATGTTTCCTAATATTACACGAAATTACCCTTTGCTCTGCTCTTACTAGGACAAAACTCTAAGTGAATCAGCTCTGAGTGTGCAAACATTTACACACTTAATTACCTTTAAATATGTGAGAAGCCTTTTTGAGGTCTGTGAGTCAGATCCTCAACTTGTGTAAATCACAGGCCCTATTTAAATCAATAGAGCTGTGATAGTTTATATCAGCCGAAGTTTTGGCACCAGAGATACAACCCCATGCTTAAAGACAAGTATGTGCAGAAGTCTCTCTCCAGGCCTCTGAAAACTAAAGAGGTCAGGTAAACTTCACGGAAAAAGAGAGACTGCATGGAACATTATTATGTTTAAAGTCATTCCAGACTGCTAAATACACATTTATTATAATGTCAAGATGAAAAATTATGAATCATTTACGTTTATTGCACCTTAGTTACACTGAAGATGTTGCCTTTCCAAGGCTGGAGGACAGCTGGCTCATAGTTATGACCACAAGTTACAAATATTTATGATACGAAGCAGAAGACCTTTTAGGGTAATGGAAGCTTGAAAGACGGCTTTAATGTAACAGCCTACTTGCTCCACTCTTCTAGTGATGGCTCCCGAAACCAGCACCCATTAAACGCACAAGATATGGACTTCACAGGATCCTTGCTGAATGTGACTTAGTATGGATGAAAAAGATGCAGAGACTACAAGGAAATATAACCTTAGATGAAACTTTAAGGCAGGTGACTAACACTTGGATGCTTTTTCCAGCACTAGAGTGTGAAGGCTTATAAGGAAAGATAATGCAAGTTCTAGTGTGCATGGGTAAAAGAACATGAGCACCCTGTATATATTGGGATCTACGTGCTCTTATCTACTCCGGGGGCTGAAAGGGCATGTATTTATTTCTGTGTGTTCTGCAGTCACCTTTGATACAGTACCTCAGCGTCACACAACGATGATTTCCGCTTCCCAATACTTCTGTGAAAAAAAAAAAATTGCTTTTGGGGTAGCAAAAGCCGTGGAAACGTTTCTAACGCCTTTCGAACTCCCGCCAACCAAGAACTGAACCCAAACATTCCGCACGGCCCCCCTTTGTCCTTGGTTTAAGTGAAAAGAGGCCGCTCCTTTCGCCCCGCTGACGTCGCCGCCTCCCCGGCCCCTCCCCGCCGCGCACCCCGGGCCCGGCCCCGCGCTCGGGGGCGGTGCGAGGGCGGTGCCGCCACCGCCCCCTCGGTCCCCGCTTCCTGCAGCGCGGCAGCGCCGCCGCTTCCTGCTCCTCCCCGTGGCGCGTCGGGCGGGCGAGTCCGCCATGGCCGCGCTGGCGGCCCTTTCAAACGCGGCAGCCGGCGGCAGCAGGGGGTAATGACTGGGGAAGCCTCCCGCTCCTCGCCGGGACGGGGCCGCGGGTGAGGCGGGGCGAGCAGCGGGGCTGCGCTGGCCCCGGTGCTCTCCGTGCCACACCGCGCCTGCAAGAGGGGTTCGCTCTTGTCTCGGTTGTCTAGGTGGAAGCGAGCCTCTTCTTTTCCTGGGCCTCCGTCTGTGCTCCCGGCCTCACCCCCAGGCCGGCGGGACAGGGTGGCATCGCCCTGCAGTGGTGCCCGATCCCGTTGCGAGGGGGTGAGCGGGACCGGGGATGCGGGAGAGCGGGACACTCCCGGGCTGGGCTGAGGTAGGGGGGCGTCGGGGTCCTCCTGCGCCCCGTCTGGCTTGGGGCACGGAGGGGCTTGTGAGGTAGCTCACTGCGTGGTCCTGCCAGGCAGCTGCCCTTCCCGGGCAGGGAAGGTGACGTTTAGCTCGGTTAGTCCTTCCTCTTGAATGATGCCAATAGACCCGAGGAAAGCAGGGTGTCGCCAGGGGAAGAGTAGGGCTTTCAAGTACATAGAAGTTTATTTTAAGCTCCATCACGTTTCTGGGCCAAAAAGCAGTGATTTGGGTGGTAGTGACTCACCAAGCAACAAACAAGTACATTACTCTCGACTTCCCTTTTGCCTCCTAGGCTCCAAAATGTGTATTTTGCTGTGATAAACTCTGCTGTGGCAGTCACCATGCAGAAGACATGCGCGTCTTCAGTGTCCCTTCGGAAGTGAAGACATCCCATTTAATTAAGCGTGATGGGAGTGTTACTGTATAGCTGGTTTGGTGGATTTGAGAAAAGGAGTAGTTGCACATAATGTAGCAGTCTGTTGCTGTATCAGAAGCAGTATCCCCCTGGTTTTGGATAATGTCTGTCTTCATAGTTGGTTTGAGATAAGTGGATTAATGAAAATGCATGAGAAATGTTTGTGTGCTCCCTTTCTTGTGAAGTCCTCATCTGATTCATTTACAGGCTGCTACACAACACAGGTTGTTCCTTTTCTCCAGTGGGACCACTAGTTATAGGAACAGGCATGGAGTAGAGTGTGCTTTCTCAGGGTGTAATTTGTGTGTTTCATCTTTTCTGTGGTACTTCTGTAAGTAGTACCAATAGGTAGTATTCCTACTAGTCTTATACCTTTGCCTTTCCAGTTAGCTTTGGGGACTGTTTTGCTGTCTGTCCCTCCCTTTCTTTCTGGTTGTAATTTTTCAGTTAGCGCTGGAGTCTCCTAAATGGTGTCTGCCACTCCTTTCTCAGGCAGGCCTGACTGGCTTTGTGCAACTCCTTGGAAATCTGTACCAGCTTCTCTGAGCAAAAGTGTCTGGAAGTTCTCCAAGATTTTAACCTCGAGAGGATTACAGTAAGTTGGATTTATATTTTCAAGTACAACTCAGTTGACCTGATAAAACCCTGGAGAGATAAAACAATTTCCATACAAATCCCTACTGTTGATCTGCATAGCATTTTTTCCCCTGTGTCGTTGGCAGCATGCTCACACGTTGATTTTTTTTTCTTAGAATGTTATTGTAGCATGCAATGGAGCTATCTTAAAATGACAAGCCAAATCAACCTGTTGAGAGCCTCCATATATTTATTGAAGTGGGCCATTCTGCTGCTACTATAATGGTCTGAAATTCACTTGTCATGTGGGATTTGTATAGTGCTTTTTATGTCCTGCCCCAGGTGCTTCATGTTATAATAAACTGGTTTGGCTTAGACTTAGGAAGAAGCTGAAATGCAAAATTCTGTTATCCTTGCTCTTTTATTTGTGATGGAGAAGCAGAGGCTGTAGAACAAAGTTTGAGGAGCTTCATGCATAGAGAGATTTCTGTTTTGGTAAGGAATGTGTTGCTTTGGATTAACTGGAAAGGGGCTTTGGAAGTTTTTGTGGCCTTTTTAGCTGGAGAGGACTTTTTGCAGTTACTGAAAGGAAGTTAAAGTCCAGATGTATTTGTGATGGTGGTGTGTTTGTTTGGATTGTTGTTTTTTGTTTTGTTTTGTGTTTTTGTTGAATCCTGTGCCTTCAGGTAGAAAAATCTATTTGTTCGAGTTATTTTTGATTCTGAAAATTGTTGGTGGAGCTTCAAAACAGGTGTGAGCTAGTGCAGGAATTTTTCTGGGGAGTTAGGAAAATGAGGGGGAGTGAGGATTTTTTAATCTAATTACTTGTAAACTGTTGTTAAACTTCTCTTTCTGCAAGCAGTTGCTTATGCCGCCTGGATTCACATATGAAGCAATTTGCTTTTAATTGGTTGTGCCTTTGCATGAATAGGGAGATTGAAGAGAACAGCAGTCTCTAAATGAGATTTGGATTGCTCCTTAACATAATAAGGTCTTTAAGGCCTCAATCTACTTATATTCTATGTGCAGCCTAAACCTATTTGGGGAGAGAGACCAGAGAAATGATTGCTTCCTTGCTGTATGTTTTGTACATACCCATATTAAGATTCTGTACAGTAAAGTATAATAAGAGCTACCCTGTCAGTTGTCTTTATTCCTGGTATGGCCCAACGCTAAACTACACTAGCCTTATTTTAATCAGTAGCTGATAGGCAGGGAGAAGTGTGCTATTTACAGCTGTCAGGACAGCGATGGGGAGCTCTGCATTGGATGCAGAGAATAGAAGTGGTGGGAAGAAAATAACTGGCAACAAAACTGATGCCATACTATTTGGGGAGTGGACCTAGCAGATGTCTTTTTCTACAATAGCAATGATTTAAATAGTTTCAGTTCTTCTTCACCGGATAGCGTAGTAGCTCTGTGAAGTCCTTTAATTTTTAACTGGGAAGTACTTTTGAAGGACATGCTGTAACTGTTGGGTTTTGTGGAGACGCAAGGCTTTAGTGATGGCTGAGTGTGTTTCGAGCAATGATGCTGTCATCTGGGACATGGACAAGCAGGTGGGTTTTGATTCCCCTGAATAGGGGGCCAAGGGTCTAATTTGAAAGTTCAGCATTAAGGTTTCAGACTATTGCACGGAAGCAAAAGATCATATATGGACAGATACGAAATGAAACAGGAGTTGGGAGCCTAAGTATGTGGGCAAGGTCAAAGTTTGCAGGGCCTAGCTCATGTTGCCTGCCGTGGAAGTAAAATATTGTTGGAGAGATGAGTAAGAACTGTTTTTTCTCAAAGAACAGCATTGCTTAAAATTAAAAGGTTTGTGATTACATATATAAAATGAGAAAAAATGTGTTAGCTAGTGTTACTTGGAAGTTTTCTGGCCTCAGATGTGAGGAGAGCTGCTAGAACAGAGCTTGTAGGAGTTCAATGTGCCACTTGGCAAGCTGGTGAAATCCTGCACAGGGTGGTTGGATAACTTGTGAACAGCATTGGATACCGCATGTTTACTTCCTTCAGGTGATAACTACAGGAAATGCCAAGCACTGTAAACACCTCTGTTAAGGTACATCACTACTGAACACAGACACAGGAAGGGAAAATGTTTGCTCTGACCTGACAGTGGTATAAACAGGTTACTCTGATTTTTCAGCATTGTAGTTGACTCTTCAGCAGCTATGGGACTCTTCTGGTTTTGAAGGGGACATAGATCTATGCAACCTCTAGTTTCTTTCCTTGGGGGTAGAAGCCAACTCTCACTTTGAGTATGGTTAACTGAAGATGACAGAGAAGGAAAAGGTAAAGGCACTTTCCCACTGAGTCGAGTCTATCTGGAAAATATAATAGGAGATAAGTGGCCAACTTCACACTGGCTTGATCCCAGCATGCTGTGGGAGGGTGAATAAAGCTCTTCTGAGTTCCCTCAAGACTTGCGGCAGGAGATGTGGGGGACCATATCCCCATAGAAGCGAAGCATGGAACTAGCAATAGGTGGTTTGATTGCTTTGTCATGTAGTGAGTGTAGTCAGTGTTGTAGATGCCCCATGTGGAGCTTAACTGTATTTGCCTGTTTCTTGAATCTTCCTGTCTCACTTCAGGGACTGTCTCTAAGCTTTCTAAAAAAAAAAAAATCTGTATTAGTTATCTGTCATCACCAGTGGCATTTAAACTTGTTGCTTTTTCATCCTCTTCCCTGCCTCCCCCTCCGAAGTGAATCACAGAAGGGCTGTTTTTCTTAGTCATTAACTGTAGGTGTTTGCACACCCCAGCACAAGCAGCTCAAGAGGAAAATTTAGCAGACAGCTGTCTGGCAATTTGGAATTAAATCAGAAGTACTTTTGTGGGTTCTAATTAAAAAAATTATTTTTGTAAACAAGAAGTATACTTGTAGTAACTATAAGATTCTTTTCTACAAATAAATAGTACAGTTATTTTGCTGTATTCATTATGAGAAGGAGAGGTGGTTATAACTTATTTCACTTGGAGTGAAATATCATGACTCTTTTTTTCCCTTATGATACCCCATGTTTGATACTTATCTCACAGATGCTTTTTTGGTATTGACTTTTATTTTCATCTGTAGAACTCCATTTTAGCTTCTGACCATGGCTTGACTGTTCATGGGGAGTGGAGAGTTACTCTGAAATAAGTTTTGTGTTTTGAATTGATATCTTACCTTAGTTCAAATTAGCTTTAGTTGCAGATATAAAAACCTTTAAGAGCAAAGTTACCACTCTTCTCAAGAAAATTTAGTAGATTAATAGCATAATGAAAGTTGGAGTATATGAGACTAACTCACTATGTGCTTGTAAGAACTGACACTATTGATGAGTGGGACAGAGGACAGACCAACTGTGTTGGTCTTATCTTCTTTGGTCTTCTGGATCAAACATATTTGAGACTTCTCCAGATTTCTAAAGTACTGCAACAAACACTTTATAGATGATCTAATGATTTTTTTTGAAGTGGAAAATCTAAGAAATCAAATAAAAACCCCCCCTAAACCCAAACATTGAAATACCCTGTAAAGACTTAACCTTATTACACATCACCTTCTATTCTGTTTCATGCTTTCCTATGCCATTTTTATGTTGGCCGTATGGATGTTCTGCTTCTTTCAGTGCGCTGTTTGAAGACAAGTGGACTTGGACTTAAGGATGTAGGAGCAAATACTACTCTGTTCATGAGGAATGTGAAAAATGCCTGGTTTCAAAGACTAAGGAGCTCATCTCCTGTTGTCGTGCTGATATGGAGAGTTAAATAGGTCATCAGCATTGGATGTCAGGAAATGCAATTAAGTTTATAAAGTGAGCATTACTATTGCCACCATCTTACTTAATGTAACAACATAAATGTTGAGATATTTTGAGACTCTGGCCTTGGCCACTTGAGGTGAGAGGGAAATACTAGTGGAAAAGGCCTTCCAGATGAAGTTTTCTTTCTACATGGACTTTTGGGTAAGCTTTGGAACTGTCATGGTGATATACTGAGTGTTCAAAATTGGCAGTGAAGTTTAGAGTAGTGTTACTTAGTGAGGGGGTTGCTGACCTCCAGTGAGAAACTGTGCATATTGGCTTTTTCCTTCTTACTTGCAGTGATTCAATGCGTAGCTTCCAAAATTGCTCGGAATACTAAAGAATACCCACCTAGCTGGATTAGGTGAAGAAGAGTGACAGATATAGAAATTGTAAGCTAAACAGCTAGTTGGAAAACTGTGAAAGCTAACCATTTGAAAAGTGTGCCAGTGCCTGCAAAAGAATGGATCAGAGATCCATCTGGCTTGGATGTTGCCTAATTTTGGAAATCTTGGTGTTACTGTTTTTTGTTTCTCCCATTCCCGGATTAAACTATGATATAAAATGGAAACATTATTTTCATACCTCTGAGGTAATGGAAATAAATAACTAATTAATTCAGAACTGTGATAATGACTGTTCAGGTATAAAGAGCAAAAGAAAACGGAGAAGTGGATTGGCTGGATGAGGTTGCAGGTGTCTCAGAACTGTCAGTGAAAAGTCACCTGGGAAGCTAATAAGGTGAGTAATATTTGTTGTATTCTGTGGAGATTTGTGGTTTTCTGTGGTGGACGTGTATTCTAAGCAGTCACATAATGGGATTTTGGTCAGTGACACAGCACAGAAATGCTGACCTGTTACCGACCAAGATGATTGGTAGAGGAACGCATTTTGCAAGCAAGCTAATAGTACTTTTTGACATGGGCCTCTTTCAACTACGGTGCGGAAAATTGTCATCTAAATTTTTGTTCTACTTTACAAGGAAAACTTGCTGAAAGCCATTTATAACAGTGGTTGTGCTACTAGTGCTTGAGTCAGAGTGAAGTTAGATTAAAGGGCGTTTTGCCCTTAAGTTAAATGGCACTTTGCAAAATGCTTATCCACTTTGTATTGTGCAAACATGGGACTTTAAGCCTCACAGTGGTAAGGCTGCATCAAAGGTCAAGTTACAAAGAGTTGGAGAACACAATGTGAAGAACAATGAAATTGTACCAGATGGGGTAAAATATGCTTCTGAGTTTTATAATTATGGAAATAACTTATGATTTGCTTTTTTTTCTTGTTAAGTTTTTTAAATTTTGATTTTCTATCAGGAAAAATTTTGAGGATACCTACAATTTTTTAACTAAAACTGATAAATATGATTATTAAAATTCACAGGCCCAGCTACTACCAAAAATTCTGAATTTAACTGAAATGTAGCTATTGTAGGTATGAAACTTGGATCAGGAGAAAGTGTATGTCTTGCCTTTTTACTTTTGGTAATTGTTTTATGCACTTGCTATATACTAGTGAGCAACTCATTCAAAATAATAGTTTTTATTGTGCATACAAGCAATGGATAGTCTTTAAAGGTGAAATTCTAGACCGTAATTGACAATTGTCTTGTCCTGTCCCATCAAAACCATATGTGAGCTCACTTTAATAGATTTTAATTTGATTTGCTGTGCTGTTTAGATGGATGGAGGAAAGACTGGCATAGTATATATGATAACCAATAATATGTTTGAGAACCAGTACTCTTTTTGTTAGGATAGCTCTACATGCAAGCCAAATAATTAACTCCATGTGAAAAGTATTTTGAGAGGTTATAGTGCTGGTGTGTTTGTTTGCTTTGGTTGAATGTGTGCTGCTGTGGCCTAAATTCTTGGATGCCGAGAAATCCAAACTCTCTCTAGAGGAAACTTTTGTGATTGGTGAAGACATTATGAGGGCACATTTGGCAGTGAGTTAAAGGGCTGAATAAGAGAATACAGCTTCAACCAAATGTCCTATTTCTCTCTTCTTGCCTCTGTTTCAGATGTCATCTCTACCAAGGAGGGTGAAATCTCAAGCCAAAGCCCTTACATCAGAAGAACTACCTTCGTTTCTTAATTCGTAAGATCATTTTTTTCCTTAGGATTTTTTTAAAGGTTTATACTAAGCATGAGCAATTGCTTAAGAACAATACAGTTTCTGAGAGGATGATTAAAAGTTTTTCATGCACACAGCTTCAATTATAAAACACAAATTACGTATGTTTCTTCATGCTCACAGTGAAGGTATCATGAAAGGGAATTGCCAGTTCTCCAAACAGAATCAGATGTGTACACATCTCCAGAACTAGTTTCATAAAAGTTGGTAAATTGTTCAAGTCATTAGCTGTGCAGCAGTGTGAAAGACCTGTATTTGTTGAATCTACCTACCTTTCTGGTAATTCTTACTGTTTGCTTTCTTTCGTGCCAGAAAACTCAAATTAGCTTGCGTATGTATATTTTTTATTCTTATAGGCAATATTGTTGATTTGTTTGTTTTTCAGGAGCTCTGAATCAGAGGAGGAAGAGGAGGAATGGAAGCCAAAACAAAAAATCGCCAAGAAACGTTGTTTGCCAAAGAAAAATGAGGCAAAAATTAAAGAAGCTGCTGTTCCACAGCCAGCTGGGGCCAAGAAAACGGTCAAGAAGGTGGCAATAAAAGAGGAATTGGTGAGTATCTATAAGCAAGAGACATATAATTACTGCAGTTGGCAAGTAACATGACCAGAATTTTTCCAACTTTGGTTCAGTTGGTTGCCTGAGTCTGATCAGCTTGTATGATTCCACTGTTCCTGTAAATATTCAGTATGTTGGATAAACATGACTTCCTTATGCATTAAAGTGTCCATATCTAAGGGCTGCCTTGAAAATTTTGGCCAATGATAATGGAACATGGTTTTCCCTGGAGATCTTTCGACAATGTAAATAAATAATGCCTGTCTTCTTTCTCTAATGTCTCTGGTTTCTGTATTGCAACTTTGACATCTTTTTTTTCACTGGCTGAGTAGCACAAAAAAAAAGGAGCCTGTGCTTATGTTTTCTTGCATGGCTGTCCAATCCAGTAAGAATTACAGTTTTAATATGATTCATATAAAATGCTGTTCTCTTGGAGATCACTTGCCTCTGTCAAATATTAACATCAGAGATCACACCATGGCAAAGCCAGTCCTTCTGCCTTCTGAAGATGGTCTCTCTGGAAATTCAGGAAAGAAAGTGTGGCTTGTCCAAGGTTAAACTGTATCTTGGCAGACTGAATCTCAGTTCCAGTTCTCATGCTGGGAACCTAACTCATTAGGAGAGTGCTTACCTGCCCTGCTTTTTCCTGTTTTGTTGAGATGAGTGGAGGTAAAGACTGTAGGTCAGTGTCTTCTGAACCAGAGTCCAATTAAATTCTTTCCTGCATAATTTTATTTGATCTTTTAAATCACAGTTCTGCTGGATGTGTTTGTATCATTTCCTCCATGAAAGATATATTTCAGGTTATTTGATTTCTGGCTTGGCATTTCGCTGCTGAACAGGGACATCACTTGGGAAAATGATGTCTGGTAGCAAGTCTTTCTAGATTTTAAATGCAATGTTGAACTACTTTGTAACAGTCAATGCTTGATATGGTTTCAATGTCTTTTTGGCAGGATGTGTCCTTGCCTATTGCACCTGTAGAAGATAATAGAATGCAACTTCTGAAACCTAAGGAAGAAGATGTAGGCACTAAACCAGAAAGTTTAAATCCAAAGCCAGAAGTGCCTAAAAAAATGGAAATAAATTCATTCCAGGGAAAAAACAAAAAGAGTTTAGGGAGTGATGAAAAACCCTCAACGAGTGTTCCTGTAGTGGGGAATCAAGTGAAACATGAGAAATGTGAAGAGGCTTTTGCATTTGATGAACCACCCTCTAAAAAGATTAAGTTGAATGAATGTCCTGAAGGAAAGCCAGTTAAAAATCTTGGAAGGAACAAAATAAAAGAAGAATTTGAAATGAACTGGGATATTGTACAGGTATGAGATCTTTTCCTTTTCTGACTTATCAATGAAACTATTTCATACATAACTGGCATTTAGAATCTTAACATAAAATTTCGATCCTCTGAAGTTACGTAGTCATTTAACCTCTGCTTAAGCTGTCATACTACATGTATAAATATAGATGTTGGTTGGTAACTGTTAGCCTTCTGGTATTTGTGACTTTGGCAGTCTTTAGTACAAATCCTGTAACAGTTTGCCTGTTTCACCTTTATCAGCACATGGTTTTTTTGTGGATGTACTCAACTCTTTCAGGAAGGGATGCTGAAAGATTTGGGATGACTGTGTGCACAGTTTCAATTTAAGATTTAATTAGTGTGGATTGTTTCGTTGTGGAGACTCATTTGAGAGTGTTTATGGTCCCATCACGGAGGAGATCGTGTTCCTCACACAGCAGTGACATCAAGGGAGATACCGTCTTTGTTTTTGTAGGATGTTAACTTTGAAGCTGTTCAGGTGAAGACAGTTTTAGGATAACTCTTGTGCTGGGAGACTAGGTGTGGTTATGGAAGATTTTAATATGAGCAGAATGGGAATAGTTAGGACACATTGTATTCATCATCCTTAGTACTCTCTGCTTGAGAAGACTATAAAATTTTGTTCGTGAGTTTCATAAAATATTCCCAGAAATACAGATGGAGAATTTGATCCTTGTGTATTGCTGCTCTAAAAGCAGTGACTATGATTGCATGGATGTTGTTATATTTTAGGCTTCAGGATAAAACTTTTGAAAGGCTTTTATATCAGCTATCTATGGGATTAACTGTAGTGAAGTGCAAACAAACTGTGACAGTTAAAATGTTACGAAGATAAGCTACTTATATAGTTTTTAATTGATTCCACATTGATACACTATAACTATCTTTAGAAAGCTCAATTTGTACAAAATCACGTTTAACTTTGTAAGGTTTGGTTCATCTTGAGACTGTTAGTAGTATCATGTTAGCTTCCTGTTATTGGTTGAGTGGGATTTGGATCAGCTCTGGCTTTGTGGGTTTTGTTTGTTTGTTTAGTTTAACCATGATGTATGTCATTGTTGGCTTAAAAAAAAAAAGCCAAATTTTCTCAGTTGCCATGTACAGTTTACTGTCTTTCTATTTTGTTTTACAATTTTGGTTTGGTCTTTTTCTTGTTCCCAAGAGGCAGTCCTTCCTGGTTTTTTTTACTGTGATTACAAGTTTCTGGAAATATTGGTTGCTGCATGTCTTGCTGAAATACTGGATGTGATGGCTGGATGCACAAAAATCCTGACATCCACTCTTAGGGAGGACAGTAGTCCCTGCTGGCCAGTGGAAAATTCTGGGAGTGGTTTTGAATGTTGAGTGAGAGGCTCTTTAAAGCAATCTACCACCTTTCTTAAGTGTGTTTTGTTTCTTTGCTGTGTTTTGTTGTTTTTTCTTTTCTCCTTTGACAGGCCTTGTCAGACATAACAAATGTTGAGCCATGGGTATGTGCAAACTTAATTAATCTCTTTCAAGAAGAAAACACAATTCCTTTTATTGCTCGGTATCGAAAAGAGCTCATTAATAATCTGGAGGCCGATGCCTTGCGAGAAATGCAGCAAACCCTGGAAGAGCTACGGTAAGTTAGCACAGGGAAGTATCTGGGTGGGAGGTAAGTAACAACTGACTACCGCTTCTGTGTCCCTCCTTTTGGCACTTTGTATACACTACAACTATAAAGGAGCTTATAAAAAAAAGAGTTTAAAACTGAGATAATTATGCTTGATACCTGCCTGGGGTTTTGTTGGGTTTTTGTTGTTTGTTTTTTTTTCGCTCAAAGTAACAAGACATCTAGCATTATTAATTGCCAAAGAAAAACTAACATCTTAGTTTCCTTGCAGTTTATTACAACTGCACAGAAAAAAACTTGTGCTGAGAGAGTAGTTTATAGTTGCTGGAGATATGTAGCCAGATGAGTTGTAAGCTGCATCTTAGAAAAAGATCTTAGAAAACGAATCACTAAGATTCCTTGGCTCCCTGCTTGGAGCAGGGAAGCCTCTAGCAAAGAGCCCTTCTTGATGCTGGAGTGTACCAGGAGAGCAGGCTAAACTCTCCCAGATCATTTCTTTTCAGCAAAGAAATGATCAGCAAAGCTTGTTGCAGTGATGGGTGAGACTGTTTTCATTCCTTCTTGCTTTTGGGTGGCCTCATGTTCTTGAAATGGCAATTGCACAGACTTGCCAGTTGTTTGGTCAACGTGGTGCCTTCCTCCTTGTACTCCCTGCTATCCCCTATCAAGAGGTTCTTTCCAAAGAAGGAAGGTAGACTGAGAGAGTTCTTGTCTGAACAAGTAATTTCAATAACAAAATACCGCTGCTGCTTGCAGTTGGTCATGTGTATCTTATTGAAGACCTGGGACTTTAAATCTGGTACCCTGTGCTTGATGCTGCAGAACTATCTGTACATGAATTGCAGCCATAAGTGCTCATCAGTGTGGGTTTATCTTGGGGCCTTTTTGTTTGGCCTCTAGGTCAGTAATCTTGTAGAAATGTAAGTAGCAGTATTGACTATCAGCATTGTTTTCCTTAAAGCTACCACAAGATATTTTGATACAATTTTGAAATAATTGGAGAAAGAGAGTAATGGTTAGAAACTTTCGGATTATCAGACGTGGTTTGTTGAGGATTAGCATGAGATACCATCTTCAGGGATTCCAGAGAGTTTCAGCAGTGTAATACACAGGGTCACAATCAACAGACTTTTTAATTCACTGTGAAATTTGACTGTTAATATTAATCTCTTGCATTTTAGTACTGTTGCAAAGAAGACACATACAACGATACAGAAGTTGAAGAAAGAAGGAAAATTATCTGGTTGCCTTATGAAAGCATTATTAAATTGCAGAACTTTGGAAGAATTGGACCACGTGGTCAGTACTCTGATCTCTTTCATCCTTAGTTTAAATGTAATCTTGCATAACTAAATAGTGCTTAATGTCAAGTACGTAGCATGACTGAAATATTTCCTTGCTTTTTAATAACTATGTGTTGTTTTCTTTTTTGTTATAAGTCTGCACCTTATAAAACTGGGAGTAAAGGCACCAAAGCCCAGAGGGCCAAGCAGCTGGGATTAGAACCTGCTGCGCTTTCCCTCCTTCAGAACCCTGTGGAACTCAATCTCTTTTCTTACATTAGACCCAATACCAAAGGTAAGTGTTCTTCTTCTATGAGCAGTAATGTCCTAAATATCTGAAAATATTTTAAAAGAGGAATTACTTTAAATTGTTCTGGTATTGCTGGACTACTTTAAATTCAACAGCACTTTAAGCAACATGTGGTAAGAGTTTACATTTAATGCCATGACTCTCCAACCTTACCTGTCTCTCAGTAAATAGTAATAATTATGGTATAAAAGAGTCAGAAGTCTGAAGACCTTACAGTTGACATCTGTATTTACTGGTAAGAGAGAGGGAACTGCCCCACACAACCTGAAACCTCTCCATGGTTCTACTTGAATTGTTTCCTGAAGAGTCTATGGTACAAGAGGCTTATGCTCGTGAAGGAAATGTCATCCAGCAAAGCATATCTTAATAAAAACTGGCCTTGGTGATTGGGAATGAGCAGGAGAGTTTTTGTTATTGAATGACAGTAGGGATTGGAGATGTAATCTCTGAAATTTGACCAGGAACTTTTAACAACGTGATTGTCACAAGTAGACTGCAGAACTGTGTGTCTTTGTGGATGCAGTTATGGGTGAATCTGTAGGGGGCAATCTCTGACAATAAAATGCCAAGATTCCTGCATCCTTCTTTATGATGTTAAAATAGAGATGTACTTCTGTTCTTCCCTGCCCCAACAGATACTTTTGCAATTTCAGCATAAAGATACTGAACCTCCTTAGTAAGGCTGACTCTTACTCTTCCTACTTCAGTTTATTTTGTTTAAATATTGCTTATAAAACTCTGCTAATTTTGCATTGAAAATCAGTTACCAAATATTTTGATTTTTAATTAACTGCGTTTTAGCAGATGTCGTTACTTCATACAGCAGTATATTGCAGCCACTCATTGACTGTTCTGGCAGAGTCTAAAGAGCCAAAAGAAAACCTTCATGGTGGAAGTTCAAATAAATTATTTAGAGTATATTCAGAAGGAAGTGCTATTTGTTGCAGCATAAACATTAGCTTTTGAAAATCAGTACACCTATTTTCAATTCTGTGCTAAAAATAATTCTGCTTAGGTTTATATAATGGTTTGCATTTGAAAGACTTCAGAAATTTGTATACATCTATGAACTGGGTCACTTTCATCAACTTGGGAGCCAGTTTGATAACCTATATACAGCTTGAGATCAGAGTGAATTTGCAGTACAGAAAAGTTTTCATCAAATCTTAATATTTCATTCTTTCAAATTCCCAATGTTTTTCAACTTATACTAAAAATAAACTGAAATAAAACCAGCAGTTCATGTTTCAAAGCCAGACCTTGGAAAGTTAAGGAAGCAGGCTCCCCGGAAAATTTAGTTCTTCCTTTTAGTTGCAGGAATGGTCAAATATTTCTCTCATTACACAAGCATGTGCTGGTGGACACAGTAAAATGCCCATGGAAACTTTATAATTCTGACTGGGTTTGACCTATGCTATCTCGTTCAAATTCTCTACTAGTATTAAAATAATTTTGCCGTGCACACTTGTGGTACTTTAGTGTCTTAATTCATATTCAACATGGTGCATGTCCTAAAACTCCCTTAGCTTTGTGTTCTGACATGACGTTACTTTTACCATAAGAAAAACTAACTTGTAAGGATCCAAATTTTATAACTTCTGATAAGTTCAGGTATTTAATAATGTATTCTTATTCTCACATTTTTTTTTCTTTCTAGCAGTGAAGTTTAGCTTCCTTGTCTTAAAAAAGGGCAAGATGAATTTTTTTATAGTGTGTAACTTTATAGCCCAATCAGAAGCAGGATTCTAGATTCAATATAATGAGTAGCTAGAGCTATGCAATTTTTTAAAATAGTGTTAATAAAGCTCTTTCAAGATATTGGTAGTCCATCAGACAGCAAAATGAAAAATAATGTGTGCCGAAGGAGACAGTTAATGCTGCATTTGTGAGCTCTAGGATTCTTGCTTTTTGCTCTGAAGCATTCGTTGCTGATTGTTGCTTGAAACAGGGTTAGATAATATTGAACTAAAATACAAGATGTCAGTTTTATTTCATTGTCTTCTGGTTCTGATCCAATTCAATCACTGTGCGAAGGAGAATAACGTGCCGCTTCTTCTGGCCTTTTGAATTAAGGGACGGTTCTGCCTGTTGGAAATTACCTGAATAATTCTGTTATCTCTCCAGAGATACGAAAACATTTATAACTTCATGTCTTTGAAGACATTTTATGACTTCAGTGTTTTGTAGGAGGGGTTGACGGTATCCTGACCTCAGAAGGTCGTTGTGCAAACTCCTGCTACAAACCCGTGGAAATATAAAACTATTACACAGAGAAAAGACAGGATTGCCTGTGAAGAATTTAGACAGTTTCCATATCAGTAGTAAAATGTGTAGACTTCTGTTGCAGTTTCTAATTTTATTAAAGTTTCAAAAATTATATTTAAATATCCAATTTTACTATTTTAAATAATGGATTTATATCATGAATGTCAAGATCCATTAGCATCAAAGTCAATAAAATGAGACAAAAGTAGGTTTTTTTTGTCCTTTTGTCTTATGATACTTCATTGGTCACTTTAGGCTCATTAAAAATATAATAATTTCAGATGTTTTGGAAAGGAAGTTTAGTTGATAACAAAATTTCAATGAATTAGGATTCTTTGAAACCTCTGCGAGTCAGTCAGATATCTTTAATCAGTTATCTTTCAGCTTGTATGCAGTTGTGTAATTTTTTGTATTAGTTTTTTCTGTATTTATTAACTGTATATTATATTGACTGTATTCTATAATTATTTTTTTCTAAGGGCTTGCAAATATCCAGGAGGTAGAGACTGGAGTACAGCATATTTTAGCAGACATCTTTGCTAAAGACAAAGACACACTGGATTTTATCAGGAAACTGTAAGTTTCATTCTTACTTTCTAAATTTCCTGGTTACATGGTAAGATTCAGTCTCCTAGCATGCTGGTACAGAACTTTTTTTTTAATGATAGGAAAATTGTGTTACTGTGAGATTTAGGTCCATTCCTGTGTACATTTGTTAGCCCCTCTGCCTATCTGGCTGTCAGTTGAGGAGGGATCTGCTGTAGGCATGTCATGATTCTGTGACTCCCAAAGAACATAAAATTCTCTATGGCTCTGCTCCACATACAGCAGTTTTCCCTTGCAGTTAGTGACCCATAAGGGAATTTTCCATCCTTGCACTTTCTTCAAGCTATAAGTTTTCAGCGATGCATCTGTTTAAGCTGTTGCTCCAATAGCTGACTTGACACCAGTCAGTGTAATTAGCGTGCAGTGATGGTTGATTTTGGCATTGGTAGCCAATAAGGCAAACAAATATGACTGTTTTTAAAGCAGGAGTTACTGATCCTTTAATTGTGTTAGCTGAATTTATGTTTTCTTACATCACCTGACATCAGTGTTGCCATGTCTGGGGAATTGGTATGACAGAGTAATAGCCACTTGTTATTTTCTCTGCTGTGTGCCATCTGGGATGGAGAAGAGAACTATCAAAGAATATGTGCTGCCCTAGGGGCATGCAATATTGTTTTGAGTCAGCAATGTGATAATTTCAGTGAAGGGGTTGTGTGCTGTCATTACCTGACTATCGCTTTCATTCTTTTGACCACTGGAAGTTCCTTAGTGTAATAGTCAGTGCTTTACAGAACAATCCTGTGGATCTGAAGTGTGTTGTATGTATGGTAATGATGTTTGGGATCCCTGTTACTCCTAAAAATAATGAAAACTTTTATGGCTGTTAAGTGCTCAAAGCAAGAAATTAATTCTGAGGCTGGGTAGATTCAAGAGAGATATTGCATTTCTAGAAAATAGAGAACTACTCTAACTTTTTTTTTTTTCAACTTCCCAAAATTTGTTGGTTGAAGTTTAATCCATAACTGACGAAACTGAAGTGCCAGTGGTGGCTTTTGAGTATCCATTCCCTTCAGGAGAAGGGCTGTGATAGCTTTTTCTGAGGTCTGCTTGAATGTCTTCTCTTGGTATGTTCCAGTCAGTATAAGTTATGTCAGTCTCAGCATTAAGATATGTCATCCAGTTCTGCAGGTAATTAGAGTTAACATAATCTGTAATTGAGCAGATTCCAAACTGCATTTTTATTTAATATGTGCAGTAATGACTTGTTAGAAGTTTCATGCTAAAATACCTTATTAATATCTGTTTCTTCTATTCAGATGTCAGCAGAGGTACATTTCCATTCAGTCAACCTTGGCAAAAGTGTCATCCAAAAGTGGAAATGAAAAAGATATTAATAAATTCCAACTCTACCATGAGTTTTCTTGCAATATAAAGAACATTCAGCATCATCAGGTACAACTTCAAATTTGTTTTTTTTCTTAGAATTTTAACTGTAGGAAACGTGGCTTTGTTTTTGAATTTTGTTGCTTCAAACTGATTCTAAAGCTACTTTCTTTTTCTTTACAGTAGGGGTAGAGGCTTTCAAATTCTTGAAATGCAGGACTAAGCTGTTAGTCTCTGTTTTAAGAAACTGAGCAAAGGACTGCTATTCAGTATGCCCATTGTGTAATTAATTTTCATTAAACAAATACTTATAATGATTTACGTATCAGCTAAATCATACCAATATTGATATACTTTTTGTGTGTGTCACGCCCTCCCTCCCTTCCCCTGGTGACAAGTGCATATCAAGAATCATCGGTGGGGGGATAAAAGCTAAGCAATGACATGCCCTGTAGGGGTGAGACTGGGGTAGAAGTGACTTAGTAGTGGAAACTGCTTGGTTGCAGCGTAGGAGTTTGAAGCAAACATGGATAAACTTATTCTTGTTTCCTTTGGATGTTTGCTGCAGCACTGAGTCAGAGTTCTCTGAGCCACTTGACACTAAACCTGACAGGTGAAACTGGTGAGAAGTATCAGGAAAGGGTCCAGAAAACTGAAATTAAAAGTGACCTACAAAAGCAGCTCGGGGAACATCCCATGCACTACCCCAAAAATGGGTTTGTTTTGAAAGTCATCAGTATTCCCTTTGATGAAGCATCTTTGGTTATCATAGACTTGTATAACTACATAAGGAAATAAAGGATGAAGCAAACTTACTAGCTGATGAGAAGCTGATGATGGCTAGGCTACCCCTGTTCCTGAAGTTCAAAGGCTGAAGTGTGATGCACTCTATACAATTGTCAAGACCTTTGAGATAATTCATAACTAATCACCAAGTGAATTGTCTCTTGTTTTGGTCACAATTACCTAGGTTTTTTTTTTAAAAAAAAAGACCAACTCAACAACAAAAGAAACCCAAAAAACCCCCAAAAAAACCAACAAAAAAACCCCAAAAAAACCCAAACCAAAACAAAAAAAAACCCAAAAACAAACAAACAAACAAATCCCCAAACCAAAACAAACCAAAATACCACACAAACAGATCCTCTTGGCTGCTTCTAACTAGAAATGTCCTTTTCCTTCAGAAGGCTGTTATATGCTCTCATTTTTTCTGTGCTTTCCATGTTAAAACAGTGTGATGTTTTGAAGTAATAAAGGATTTTATTGCATGTCTTGAAATTGATTTATTACAAAAACTATTTCACAGCATGGATGGGCTAATTTTTACACCATTTCCCATGCTCCAATATGAAAGGTGTTAGGTGAAGGCTAAATAGCTACTAGTGATTTTAGTAGAGAAGTCTTCTGTACATATTTGAAGAGGTAGCTGTAGTTGTTTTCTTTGTAATGATTATGAACATTTTCTGTACTTATATTGGTAATTATTTGGTGAAAACTTGCTTCTAGAAGGTCTGGGAAGGTTGATAAAGCATCTATTGATTACTGTGGTGACATTCACAAAAGTTTGTAGATTCATCAGAAAATTAAGTGCTGTGGTGTATGGATTTTTTGTGTGCTTTACTGTTGAAGGAATACTTGGGCTGTAAAAGACTACTTAGTTTTACCTGCACTGACAGTGGTGAATACTGAGATATGCAACATGTTTTGGATGAGCAAGTGTTTCCTGGGATGATTTACTTGTCTGAGGCATCCTTTTTTTTTTTACTTAAGAAAAACTGTTGCTTGGTTAGAGCCAAGGCTAGAAACCATATTTCCCAAACTTGGTCAACGTTTTGATTGTGTGGCTGCATTTTTTCTTATCCAGGACACGTCCTTAGTTTGTTTGATATTAACTTGATCTGTTCTGGTTTATTCTTCCTTGTGTCTGTTGCTAACCTTAATGTCTCTTTCATTACCTATTCTAGCTCTCTGGTGAAGTCATAACAGCTGATTTTGCAGCTGGTAGTGTTGTAATAATGGGACACTTTTGCACACATACCCGCTGTCTTTCATCTGTATAGTACTGCTATTGACTGTTCTACCACATTGAATATTTCTATATTTTGAATTGTAGAAGTCTGAGTTGCTTGTGCTTTGCTGAGGTTTCAAGGCTCAAGGTATAGCAGGGCTCTTTTGTCCTAATTGAGGAAAAAATGCATTTTACGATCATTTCTGACCTTAGAATTTGCAGAGTTCTCTGTTTTGTAAATGTACTGTAACTTTTTATGTCTGTTTTTGGTTCTTTGTTAGTTTTTCATTTTCTCTCCTTCTCCCTTTTTTATTTTGATAATGAAATGAGAGAAAAAGTTGGGTTTGGTTTCTTTTATCTGCCATTTCTTCATTAAGCTGAAACCCAGATACTGTACTTTCAAAAGTCTTTCTCATTACCTTCAATTTCTTTATCACCTGACCTTATTCCCCTACTGGTGCAAGTGGCCATTTTTTAATTTCTTTTATTTCATTGGGTTATGACCATCCTTTTTAGTACCTGAAAGTCTTTGTTTTTTCCTTCACCTAAGGCTTTGAAGAAATACTTCCTTTTTTGCATTTAAAAACTGGCAAAAACATATTCTTTTAAGAATAGAGTAAAAGATGGCTTCAAGGGAAGAAATTCTCTGGTTTGGTTCAAGATTATTAAAAGAAGTTTATACCTAAAAAAGATATAGAAAAGCCTGAAACTAAACTATTTTATAAATTTTACTAATCCCCCAGGACTACAGGTTAAATAGCTGTGTTTGAAGAACACTTATAGAATTCACTGTTTTTAAGACCTTCTCTACTGCTTTCGTGGCTGCATACAGACAAGTGTTCTAAACTCATTTAGCTGGAGGCAAAAGTCAGCTTTAAATCACCTCTTTGCAGAGTTGCAAATACAGGATTCTGTAAAATACTGCACTGAAACTTGTCATCACTGGAGTATGGCAGTGCTAAGTAATCTTAAAGATCTGAGTACAACCCTAACTCTGCTCTAGCTTCCCTGTGTGTAAAGGGGGTGGACAGTAGCCTAGCATGTTACCTGTAAGAGGATAAGCTGTGCCCTTATGACCAAAGCATGTGTAGCTATGAGGGTGCCTTGCAGAGTGTGTTGCAGTGAGTTAAGCTGCTGTGCAGTAAAGCTGCAGCTCCGTTTTGCAGTTCCGCAGCTGTCGCTGCACACCCCGGACATCTGTGTTGTTTTCTGTGCCATTGTCGTTCTGTGTGCTGAGGCACGCTGCAGAATTATCAGGACTGGTGTGAGGTCGGCTTGTTTGACTGAAAATGGTAAAACACTGAATCTGAAATGAGAAAAAGAACTTTGTTGTTTTAAAAGCCTGACTCCAGATTTGACGTGGTTGGACACCTGTGGGTGTTTCCAGCTGGAACATTTTGCTGTCGAGAGGTTGAGCCACAGTTTCTTCCTTTGGCAGCAAGGAGAACCTGACTTGACTCTCCTAGGATGTAGTTGAGTAGCTCTACCAACACTGTCATAACTAAGGGAAAAGAATTTTTCAAGAGTTTATTTGAATTTTTGACTAATTGTAAACAGTTCAGTGTTTTTGTACGCCTTGGGGTTGTTTTCCTGTATTTGGAAATGACTGAAATGGTGGGAGGAGAATTCATGAATAAAGTGTATCATTTGAGGCAAGTGCTCTATTTTCCATCTCATACTTAAAAAGGAATTGGGAATTAGAAGTCCTTGGCAAAGTATACAAAACTTACTGTGTGAGTCTAAGTAAATCTGCAACGTAGAAGAGAGCTGGGCAAAATGAAGGATGTCATATTTTTATGATAAACAGAATAAGGTTTGACAAACTTTATGTCTAGATCAAATTGTTGTTCTTGCTTTCTCTGAAAAATGTATGTTGTTTTTAACAATCCTGGCCCTGGATCTGTTCCAATCTTAGATAAAAACAGTCTTTTTCCAGAAGTCAAGACTGTTTTGTGTCTAGAATAGCCAGATTTTAACGTTACTTAAAAAAACAAGCAAAACAAAAAGATCTTTATTGTAATAGACGAAAAAATTGAGTAATTCCTTTCTTAATTGAGCATTTATTGGATGATAATTCTTCTCTGAATGCGTCACTTAAAACAGGATAGGCAGTTTGTTTAAGAATAAAAATGTAAATAATATTAGTGACTGCATTAACAGCTGGTTTAAGTTCAGGTGACTGACACATTCTGCAGATGGAGGGCCAGGAAACAAAAGGTGATGCAAATATTGACCTTGCTAACAGCATGCTGAATGATGACATTATAATTCTATCAGATCCATTCTCTGTTGTGAGCATCATTTTGATTTCATTTTAACTTGACATTTAACTTTCTCTTTTTTAAAAGTGAAATCATAATAAATGTGAAAGCATTTGATTTGTTAAAATATGTCTTTCTAATTTCTACATGAAAACATTTGCTTTGGCAGTAAAGGTACCAGATGCTATAATATTTCACATGCAATCTTTATTATTAGCTTTGTTGTTCAATGATATGTCAGGCCTGGTATGTCACAGGAGCAGTAAGGCTCAGGAATATAAATTGGTACTATGTCCTGGAGTCATTTTAAACCATTGTATTTAACATATGTGACATGTCTGAGTTAGCTAGTGATTGAATTAAAGTTCATGATTGACACAGAATGCTCTGTTGTGACAGTGCTCAGGGCCTGCTACATACAGCAACATGTGTAGTCATACAGGAATGTCAACTTCAAGCAGGTTTCTTTTGTTTGTTTGGGTTTTTTTCTACTTTAAAATACTTCGGAAGGAAAAAGGGAATCTAAAGATGTGGCTTTTATTTGTAGCTGCTTGTGACTATTATTTTGTTTCTAAACTCAGTGAGTTTTCTTAATACTAAAGTGAACATTCAGTGTCACCATAGTGAGATTAGACTAGTAGTTACCCACCAGTATCCTCCAGGATCCACAACTTGTATTGTGATCCTGGTTTTAAATGTAGAGTCACAGTCTTCCATTTAAAATTGAACTCTGTATGCAGGTAGCACAAGTGCAACCTAATTTAGCTTTAGATCATGACTAGGCAGTTATGTACATGAGGTTCTGTCAGAAATATGTGCATATGTTTTAATGCTGGAGTGTTAACATGAAGAGTGTATCTACAGTCTTTTCTGCTATTTGTGAACTAGTAATGAATAACTCTAAATTCATCCTCATTCAAATTAAGCTGAGTGCCTTTGTGTCAAAAGTTCTGATCCATAATTAATTTTAAATTTGGATTGATCTTGGAAAGAAAAATGAAACCTGAAGCATAGGACTAACTTTTTCCCTCTCCAATCTCTAGTTCTGATTGGCGTCACTTTTCAATTAATTTGAGTTTTGTGTCATTAAATAAGATTATTCCACCAGCTAAATTCATGCTCTTTTATATTATAAGTGTGTTTAAGATAAACTGAATCTTGAGATTGCAGACTCCAAAAAAAAATGTATGATTTGTTATACCATGGCATGATTTAATCTGTGTTTAAATTGTGTATGTTATCTGTACATGCTAGTACTTTGTGAACTGATTTACTCTACCACCATGCTGATTTGCTACAGAATGTCAAGCAAGCGCGTACACAAATGTTGATAAGTTTATCTTTTGGATATTTTGTGTGTCATCTGTCTCTGCCATTTATGTTTACACTCAGATTCTGGCCATTAACCGAGGGGAAAATCTGAAGATCCTGACAGTGAAGGTCAACATTCCTGACGGGGTGAAGAATGAATTCTGTTGGTGGTGTGTCAATGAAAGGTCTGCATGGATACATATTCTTACACAAATCTCTTTTTTTTCTTCCATAGACTGCTGCATACTGAAGTGTACCTCATATGTCTTGTTACATTAAGAGAACAAATTAAACGAATATTTATTAGATTAAATGAAATCAGCTAGTGGATAATTCTTATTTTGTATTTACAACTGGTGTAGCATTATGCTGAAAAGATCATGCCTTGGGCTATATTTGTGAGTTCTGGCACCATTCTTAAAGCAATGGAGTTTTTTTAAAAATATGCTAAAGCTGATGAAATGTGAATATATTTTCAAATTGTAATATGCATCACATCCAGTAGTCTTTACTGAAAGGACTTTGTAGAATCTAATAGAATATACTTCTAACTTCAAAAAATAACTTCATATGCCTGATTACAATGATTAAATAGGACTATCTTGGATTTTAGATCAGTGAACTACATAACTTCAAGTTTCATAAATGTAAGGAATTGCACGTTTAAAAAAATTTAATGGATTTAATAGACAAACCTAAACATGACTGCCTTCAATGCATAATCCTCACACATTGTTGAACCATCTCTTACATTTTGATCTCTGGTTGAGTCAGAAAACTGGGCTCTAAAAACTGGATTCTTCTATTGTTTACTGATTTGCTCTTACAAGTTGCTTTTTTTTAGTAAGCCAGTAGTGAGTTGTTTATTGTTGCATAATTTTTAGTTTTTTTGCAAAAGTTCATTTTAAGTATACGTTGTTTTGTGTAATATCTCCATCAGCCTTTTTCTTGGAAACTGTACCTTGATGTCCTCTGTTGGAGACTGTTGTGATCCAAACTGTGCATCTTTCTTGCGTGTATAAAAGACAGGTTTCTCTTTCTCAGTAGCTTAAGATATTGGGCACTGTTCTGAAGATGTTTCAGAAACTCCTACCTTTGCATCCTAAAATTGAATAACCAAAAGGAGGGAAAAAATAGGGAAAAACGCACCTTTTAATGTATAAAATGAATACTACTTCAGCTTGTATTTCTTTTTCACAACAAGTCCAAGAAATGGATTTGGAAAAAAATGTTCCTTTCAACTGTAGAAATTTAATAGGGATGTTCACTCTGAAAAGGAAGAATAGGGCTCTGAAAGAGTTAAAATATTTGTTTGGCTGGAAAATGTAATATGATCTAAGATTAATAGTAAGTAACTTTTTTTTTTTCTCAGTAAAATATCAGGATTCATAAGCACACCTTTTCCATTCTAGTTTTAGTGCCTATAACAGAATTTCTGTCCTCCCTTCAAGATGTGTATTCTGTAGGCAGGACATGTCTGTCAGTCTTGCTTTTACTTGCATCTATGACTGAGAATTTGGAAGCACTGTGAACCACAGATAACGGAACAGCTTGTCACTGCTACACAAATAAAAGTGGGATGTAAATTGGGATATTTTTGGTTGATTACACTTCTGTGAGTCATCCTGAGATAAAAAGAATATTGACCTTGGGAATGAAACTACTTGTTAATACTTGGCATTCATGAGGCTGTATATGCTTATGGCTTTTTATTATTTAAGGACAACTTCTCCACCATTAGGAAACTTGTGAAGAAATGATTTTAGTAAATCTTGGTGCATTAACGTCTAGGACAGATTCTGATCTTCCTTGTTAGATTGACAACTGTGTTATCAAACTGACAAATAGTAAATGTGTATTCTGCCCCGCAAGCTTTGGAATTACTGTCTAAGGGTGGAATTTGCATTATTTTCTTTGCATTGATTTACTAGTGAGAGCAGAAGGTTAATAACTTCCAATTGAGTCAATGGTTTCAAAACTTTGCAAAGATATTAACTAATTTCCTGAAGGTTACACACCTTGAGTTGCAGACATAAGTTGCAGAACCAGAAATGCCACCTTGCTACAGAGTTTGGCCAGTATTCTAGCCACAAAACAGTATCGCCTACTGCCTATTGAATTAGTAGCAAATATTCAGACTTTTTGTGTTCTTCTGAGACAAATTTTTTAGCATTAAACGTCCCTGCAATAGAAAGTGAGTTTGGAAGACTAGGGTTCGTTATTACATTGAGTTCCATGTAGATGCTGTCTAAAAATATTGTAATTTTTTTGCAAGTTCAGAATATTTATTAACCTGTATAAAGATCTCTGTTTCCTTGAAATTTGGGTTTGTGCAGAAAACTGAGTAATATCCTTCTGCCTGGTCCTATGGGTTGTATTTTTCCCCAGAAAATGGCATCTCTGTGGTTTGAGAGTGAAATTAGCTCCATTAACTCTAGAACTCTACCGGTCCCAAAGACTCCATTGTGAAATGGAATACAGAAAAATGATCAATGAGAAACAGCCAGAGAGGGGGCTGCTTAGCTGGCTTGGAGTGTAAAGTCAACATGGAGTTGTTCCTTGGGAAGGGTTGAAAGTCTGTTCCAAAATGGGATCGCAACCTTGAAAATGAAGTTTGATGCTTGATAATATTTTTTCAGTTTCCAGTCAAAATTCTCAGATTCTGTGTGAAGTCCATGGTACGGGCCTTTAAGGCTTGCTTTGTCTGTGGTTACTACCTTGGTACGTGTTTTCTGTAATGTCTTGGAGGAACACAAAGCTGTGCTGTTTCTCTTTCGGGTCTAAAATCCTGGTTGTGGTCTTCCTGGAACAGCTGTTAATTAATACTAGTGGTTCTTGATGTGGGCTCTGTTAATTCTGTTGCTGTACGGTTTCACCTTCTGTGGTGTATCAGTAGTCTAAGCCATTTATGCTTATGGTGGTCCCTGTTGTGAGCACTTGCACATGGAGAGATGATGAGCAGAGTAGGATATTATTCATATGTAGCTTTTCTAAATAGGGCATCTAAAGTCATATCTTGATTAAATAATCAAGAAAAATCCATTCTTAGAGGGAGACTTAACTACGCTGCTATGATCTTTACAAATATACACACATGATTTTGCTTTGTTTTTGAAGCAAAGTGAATTTTTCTCTTCTCTCATGAGGTACTGCAATAATTGAAATGGAGTATTTGCTGTGATTGAACTTACTGCTTGGATATTTTTGCATTTGTAGCAATTTCTAACAGAATGTTGCCTAAATAATTTTTACTTATATGTAGGCAGGTAATAAAAATATCTGCTGTGATAACTTATTTACAGAGGAAAGGTTTGTTAACTGGCTTTAATGGATGGAAGAGCAGGGGAAACAGCTGCCAGGTTTCCAAATTCATTCTTATTTGTGCTGAGGATACTTTCTTGGGGGATTGTAGTCATACTAGCCACCTGTAATAACTTCATGTTTATAGAATGTGATGGCAATAAGAGGGTTTAAAGCCTTTGCCAGTTTTATATAGGTATGGAAAGAGTCTCCAGTTACAAATAAGTATAATAGAACTATTTGCAAAAACTGTTAGCTAAGTGATGAGGTCATGTGGCTAAGCACTCACAACCCTGAACGTTGTAAAACTAAATAGTGAGCTTAATTCTGCTCCCATGTCTGTCTGCACTAATGCAGCATTGACTCGATCGCACATTCCTCGTCTGTTATATGCACGGACACTTAGAAAAGCTGTTTCAGGAAATTGCAGATCCCCTTAAACAACTGAAAAGCTGTCTGGATAGGAGCAATTTTGGATTCTGTGTATTTCTGAGTGACTGCAAGTAAACAAAAGCAACAGTAAAATTCATTCTGCTTTTGCCTGGACCTGCACCTGGCTACATTATGAAATGACCATAATTCTATCATGTTGCATTTAAAAGACAAGCCAACCAACCAGCCAAAAAATTTAAACTTACCCAGACATATTACAAAATAAGTATGTATCTCACTTAACAGTTTGGGACTCAGGCATATTAAATAATACCATAAAGGAAGAAAACTTTGACTGTTATCAATATTTTTAAAAGTAATAAAGGTGGACTTTAATAGAAAATGTTAACTAGTTAGTTCTGTTTGCGTATAATATATCTGGTTGCTTCTCCTCAGTCTTGATCTCTTATCGTTGGGTGGGCAAACTCAGTGAGTCAGTTCTGCTTGTTGAAGGACTCGCATCCCCCCAGCCCCCTCCTTCATGGAACATTGCCCACAACAAAAAGTTCAATTCGTTAAATATTAATAAGCTTTGAAACTTTGGTGTATTTTACAGCAGAATTTGAAGTAATTGTCATTATAGTTATGACTACTGCACATCCTCCCTAGAAAAGGGAATGCTTTAAAGAGTTTGGCTTAGAAAAAGTTGGGAAACAGTCCTGTGTTTATTTGGTATTGTTTATTTAATTTTCCCTTTTTCTGTAATATTATTTACGCTTCAAATATATCAGCAACAGGTAAAAGAGAAAAATAATTTGCAAGCTGTTTGGCTTCTGTGGCTTAAGAATTGCTGCAAAATTTGTAAGATTTCTTTTAGAGTTTGAATAGAGATACTCAAAGCATTTCAAGTGAAATTTGATTTGGGTTTCATTAATTGATATTAGTTTAGCTCCTAAATTTCCATCTGGGCAGTGACACTCACAGAGGATGTTTAGTAATTTTTTTAATGTATTGAGGAGTAGCAAATAATGCAACCCTAATGGTAATATGTAATCAAGTTCTTTGTTCAGTTGTTATAAGCTTTGACTTTTCAAAGGGAAGAAAAATGGGGTTTTATGTTTGCTTTAAAACATAAAATATGATTGCATTCTGACACCGAAGAAAAGATAAGCCTGTCCCTGCTGTGACCTTTGTGGTCATGGACAACTTCTCATTCTATTTATATTTGAATCTATGATTTCATTGCCTAATTATTGTAGAAATTCTGCAGTTTATAGGACATTGCAATGTAGAAATCTTTTTGTGAAATTCCTTTTTTATCTAGGTGTTTGTATATGTTTGTAAAGTATTTTTTGATTTTTCTTGTTCTAATCTTTTGCAGATGGAGACCGAAACAATTTTTAAAACCAGAATTTATGAGGATCCTACGGAATTCAGTAGAGGATGCATATAAACGCCTTATACATCCTCTTCTCTGTAGAGAATTCAGGTAAGCCCAGAATAAATCCGTACTTTCATATTATGAATTTTTAAAAAATTCCCTCCCTAACATTTTGCTGGATTATCTCTTATCCATTTGAAAATATCAGCATGTTTTTAATCCTCAGTGCTTAGAGAAGAAATGAACTACATAGTCTTGGTTCTGTAGATTTAATTTGTGACTCTACGCAGTTTAGGCTACAGTAGAGAAATGATGTTTCTGTGAAGACGTTTTACGTGTTTACGTACTTGTTACTTGTACATTTATCTAGTAAAGTTACTCTATTACCATAATAGTTTTATCTTATTCTTTATCACCATAAACCATTACGTCACTGGTTTTTCCCATCATCTTTTCATATCACAGCAGCAGTACTATCTGTGACATTGTTCTGATTCCTGCTCTTTTACCTGTTTGAAAGAAATCAGCAAAGTATTGTTGTGGTTGGAAGTGTCCCTCATGTTTGCCAGCTGCACTTTGTGGTAAACTAATTAGTCATAGTCTTAGTCTGATACCATTTTACAGGTATTGTGATGCCTCTAGAGAAGTCAGTAGACTTACTTCTGGTGATACTGTAGTAATGATGTCATCAGACAAAGTGTCACTTGTTAAAATCTGTAATATTGTTCTAAATTTAAAGAGAACTTAAAACTTAGTATCAAAGTAACATGAATTAAATAGGGCGTTTTTTGGTGTAGTATAGGAAGTGAAAAATCTTTAATATGTCAAAATCTACGTTCTAAAAGCATTATGTTCTAATGGCTAACTACTTATGGTGTGATTCTTCTCATCAATACAAGAGAAGCTCTTCAAAGTCTAACATGTTTCATTCTGGCGAGGCTTTCTGATATGTGACCTAGATGTTAATGCCTGCTTTAAGGTAGTTCAAAATTAAGTTTATCAGAGAGACCCTGTTTCTTGGACCAGAAATGTTGAAATTACTTGTATCAAAATGACATATGTTGGCTATTCAGTATCTAAAATCTGCAATCACATTGTGAAATACAGTTCTTCTGTACTTTCCTGGCTGTGCGTTTATGTTTCTGTTCAAATTGGAATTGTTTTCCTGACACTTCCTTTCATGAACATCATTCCCTGAATGTTCTATGTTCTAACCATCTGAAAAGAACTGTCAGCTCAAGTTTTTAACAGCAGATATTTCTAACGGCTTTTGGGTTTCTTCACTACAGTATGTTGTGTTTGTTCATTGCTTTGCAAGCAAGATTGCTTCACCTCTTTTGATTAGCAAGCCTGCTTTTTTGCTAATGAGAGTTTCACAGATTTCTAAAAGCACTGAGTTCACTTTTTTTTTTTGTGATCACAGTACATGTAGCTACTCTAGGGGAGGCACTGTGTCTATTATTTGGCCAAAATGAGGAACAGCTCATGATGGAGAGTCCAACTGTTGGCTTCTTTCACATGGGAGTGAAAGAAGTTGTCATTCCTAGCCATCTCTACAATCAAACTTTTAAAATAAAGAAAAAATACTTACTTTTTAGTGGAGTTTGGTTTTAAGATAGCTAAACAAACTGACATAAGGGTACTTCAAGACTCTTTTATTGTATTTTTGTTCTGTGGTTTGAACCACAGGATTGTTGTGGCCTGTGTTGTGTATAACACTGATGGAGGGCTGTTGCAGCAGTAGGTGGCTGAGGGTTTTCTGTTCTCTTAATCAAAAAGAAAAAAAAAGCTCCCTTCCCTACTGCTTTTACTAGATGTAGCTCACAAGTAATAAATGCAAAGAATATGAAGCTTGCTGCCTATTCCTAAGTGGATGTCTGCTTAGATTTTACTCTTTGTGATAATTTTGCATGATTGGTGGTGTTTGGTTAGGAAAAGCTGAAGCATCTCCTATAGAGAGGAACGCAAAGCACCTGACAGTAGTATTCCTGGTTCCTGACCACTTAACTCTTATCCTTCTTTTATTCTCTTTTTGCACACACCAGGAGCTGTTTTTCAGGACTCTTGCAAAGGACTGCTAAAGTATTCAATGCCTCCTTTTAGCATTAATATTTCCAACCCACCCCCTGCTGTTCTTCTTTCTTTTTTTATTATCATTAAATGTTGGAACACAAAGTTTCCAAGAGTGTATTGAAATTGCTGGTGCTTCTAGTGATCAGAAGAATGCAACTTGCCAGCAAGACGGTTACCTTATTTATTGTTTAATTTCCTTTCTTCCATTCTGTCAGATATCATCATTTCTTGTATCTGTTATAATAATGTCCAGTGTTGCTTTTGGCTCTTTGAAATACATTTTACCTTGTTACAGTACTGCATGGAATGATTCCGTCAGGGTTTTGTGCAAGTGATGTGGCATGGACTTATTTTTTTAATGGATAATCCTTTCATAATTTTCCATGCTTTCTTGCAGAGAGTCCTTTCTCTCCCCTGTCTTCAGGGACACAAACATTTCTCTGTATATCTTGTTTCACACCTGAAGCTAGTTTGCAGATATTTTTCCACAGAAAGGATTACATCTCAGACTGTATATGGAAGTGGGGAATTTTGAATCTCAATTTAAAAACCGAATCTTATAACATTGAATATAGAAACTAGTAGATCATGATTAGGTTATTTGCATTTATTAGAGTATACCTGTTAGTGATACACAGTCTGAGTGCTTTGTAGAATTTAAGGTAGGGGCTTAAAATCCTGACTTAATTGATATTTTCTCATAAAGTAGCAACTGCAGCATTCTGAGATGTATTTATTTGAAGGTTTTTTTGGATTTCTTCCCCCCAAAATAACCATTTCTCTAGTGCTTTCTGCCTTATATCTCTGTCATATTAATGAGAATCATCACAAATTGGAAAAACATGAAACTGGGCATCTTGCCATTTGGATGGAGCCAGTAATGCACTGAAAAAGAGAAGGATGTTAGATTGTCTGAGTTAGCTTCATTTTTTTTTTCCCCCAAAGGATCAAATGATTATCCCAAACATGAAATTAAGGGCCAGTACTTGGGACAATAGATTATGTAATTGATACAAGTGTTGAGTGAGAGAGAGTTAGAGAGAAAAGAGAAGTCTATGCTCAAAATTAAAAAATACAGGATATTATGTAATAGAAAGGACATTCCCCCACGCACCTGGCAATTTCAGTAACATTTCCTGTTACTATAAAAGTTTCTGTATATCCATGCCAATTTTAAACATGATTTCCATAAGGCACACGTAACTAATAGCATGTGTTTAGGGGTAATTTTAATTTCTGCACAAGTCTCCCTTCACAGGTGGACTGATATGAATTTGCAGCATGGGAGGACTTGGCCTTGTGGGCAACTGTAACCCTTTATCTCTAGGATAGATGGAAAGGTAGAACTTGACCTCTCTTTGTACAAAGCCTCCCATCCAAGGGGGCCTGCAGTCCAATCTTCCCTTGTTTTCCAGCCACTTTTAACCTTCATTTGTATGCATGGGTGACTGGTTGAATCTTTGTTACTTGTGTATATAGAAGATCCTTACTGCTGAGAGGCTTAGGTATTTGCTTTTGTTTTCTCTGGTTTTGTTGTGTCCCTGGACTCTCCCTGGAAAAAGCTCATTCTGTGGTTTAGGTTATTTATTTCTAATTTTTTAAGAACAGGAGAAGGATGCTGTAAGAGTGAATGATCAGGAAATGAAATGGCAACTGAAATTCAGTGGAATGAGTGTAAAAGGATGCTTGCAAGGGGAAGTAGTTACTTCTTATACATAAAACTAGCAGGTCTGAGCTGTCCTGCCACAGAAGAGATGCTTTGGCGCTGTGGAAAGCAGCTCCACATAAATGTCAAGTGCTCAGAAGATAAGATTATTTAGTTAAGGAATAAAGACAAAACAAAGACTCTTTGATTTAGTTGGCCTTTATTTGGAATATTATTGGCTATTTTGGTCCACTCACCAAAAAGTAGGAAAACAATTCACTGGAACTGTAAAAGGCCCAGTGAAGGGGAATGAAGTGTGAAATAATTTCTCTGTGAAGAAAAATTAACTACACTAGGACTCTTCAACTTGGGAGAGAAATGGCTTAGAGATAAATGGCATGTGAAGAGTGGCACAAGGTTTCTAGGGATAAATTTTTACTATCTTCCAGTTAAAGGCCTCGGGGGACATAATAAGAATCACCTTCCAACCAAAAGGTGGCAGCTATTTACTCAGCTTGCGATGGACCTGCAGAACTCCCTGCCAACAGACTTGGAGACAGAATACTGAGATAGAGGGAAAACTTACCTGAACTGGTGCAATATGCAGAGTGTCCACGCTTTGTTGAGGGCACATTTGAATTTCTAAGGAGTCTTGTAATGCCTGCATACCCTTCACCATCTCACTTTGAATTGTATCTGAGTTAGTCTGGTATACCTGATCCGGAAACAAAAAGCATGGGGATGTAAGGGAGCCTCTTGCTGTAGCAACTTACCCAGGGAATGTTCAATCAGTTAGGTGTGAAAGAGAATCTGGACATCTCTCTAGACTACTTTCAAAAAGAGATGATGATTACTCTTTCTTTCTGTACCACTGTGGGATGAGACAGGGCTGAGCTGGTTGTTTGGTTGGATCCTGGGCAAATTCAAGTCAGGCTGTTAAGTTCTTCCACATCCGAAAACTGCTCAGAACAACTTCATATTACATCATGTCAAATAGCCTTTATGAGGGTTGTCTTTGAACTATTTGTAGCTTGCTTGTGTCATGCATTGATTGACCTACACAACTTGAGTAATTTTCCCTGCCCCATTCTTAAAGGGTCAGCTAACTTGGACACAGTTTTTTTTCCTTCAGTAAAAATAAACCCAGATATTACTTTTTTCAGTGATGGGTAAAAAGAAAATGGAGAATAAGGGCATTGGCTACCCTTTGAAGTTATATGAAGGCTTTATTGGATTTCTTTTGATTCTCTAATTATTGTCATTATTGATAATGCAGCTAAAAATGGCAATGAGTACCTGCAAAAGAAAAATATCAGCTAGGTGATGAATATTTGTGTCCCCATGACTTTTTCAGTTTCCCTTTTTTATATAACATGCAATACCATGACAAAAATACTTGTCCTTATCAGTCATTGTCCTGCTGGCCACATCTGACAAATAAGACACTGTCTATCTTGTACACCTTCAGTCAACAAGACTGACTTTTTTCTCATAACACTCTGCTGTAAGTATTCGTGCTTAAAGTCATCAAAGTCAAACCTTGCTGCACTCACTTCTTTTTGTTAAAGATCAGAACTTGGAAAAGAAAGTTAGGAAACAGGAAACATCGTGGTCCCATCAGCTTTCTAGTTTGGTTCTGAGGAAGCAGAATATCCTCCTAGAAAAAGCCCAAGTCTACATGCTTCTTTGATGGCTGTTAAATAATGTAATTCATAGACAAAATTAAATGCCTCATGAGTCGTGGTGTGTTAGCAGTTAATTGGAGGTACCTTTCCAGTTTCTCTCTAGTACCTCTCACTGTAAAACCATCATCCTTTCTTTTGCTGGGTAGTGATTTTTCTCTAGAACTGTGAAATTATGATGAATTCAATCCATGCCTTCTTTAAATCCACTTTTCAATTAGGTATCAGCTTTGATAGGAAACTGTTCTTTGCTTAAAATTCTGAGTTGGTGTTTGAATGTTAGTTGGTATGTCTACAGTCTTGTAAGTGTTTCTATTATACACTTTATATTCACTGTTTCTTAGGACAAGAATAAGGTTATCATAAAGCTGATTCTTTTTTAGAAAGGTGTCAATAACTTGAAGTTTAATATTTAATTAAAGATGATGGAAACATGATTGGAAAAAGCCTTGCAACTTTGGAACAATTCATAAGTGCATTTTAAAACTAATTGAAGGGAAATTTTTGTGGGTTTTTTCCATCCTTCTAAGATCCAAGTTGACATCTGATGCAGAGAAGGAGTCAGTGATGATGTTTGGGAGAAATCTCCGGCAGTTGCTTCTGACCAGCCCTGTGAGGGGTCGTACTTTGATGGGAGTAGATCCTGGCTACAAACATGGCTGCAAGTTGGCAATTATTTCACCAACCAGTAAGTTTCAATTCTAGACATTTTTGAGAGGACTGATAAAAATATATTCATTTGGAGTAAAGGATAGTTTCAAAACCAGCTTTTTTATCAGGTTGATTTTAGTTTTTTGTGAAGCTTTTAGTGTCTTCCATATGTCCTGTCATGTAAATTCCATTCTTCAGCTAGGTTAAGGCCAAGTTTCTGCCACCTGTATTCCAGTGACTTCTTTGGTGTTATTACTCCTCTCTGAAATATAATTTAAAATGCCTTCTGCCTTCCTGAATACAGGTTCAAATAATTGTGCCCCAGATAGTCAACAAAGAGAACACCTGGCATTTTTATTGTTCACCAAAGAATTTGAATTTGAATACTTTCTATAACATTGCTTTTTTCATGGGCAGTATCTTAGACATGTGGACACTTTTATCAGCCCTTTTTTGTTTAGTACTATGTGTGTTAATGTGAGAAGTCAGAAACACTGTATTTGCAAAACTTCTTAGTTCAGATATAGAACAAAGCCTTTCTAGTTCATCCTAGTCTAATCAGGGGATACATACCTCTTTAGGCCCATGCAAAAATGGTTTGTTTTCCTTTTATTATGTTGTTGCTTTTTGTCTGGGAATATATTCACCCAGGATGGGCGGAGGGAAAGATGTGTTCTGAAAACTTTAAAAGGCAATGAAGGTAGGATAAATGGTTATTAGCTTTTATTGCACTGTAAGATCTCAGTGCCAGTTAATCCAGTTCTTTCCAAATGTGATAGATGAGATCATGGCAAGAGCTGGCACTGGAGTTCCAGAGCTCTTAGACTGCAAGTCCTGAAACTTTCTAATTTTCATCTCTCTTAACTGGATCTGTAAAATGTATTACACTAGAGCAATAAATATTTTATAGTAAATTGCTGGTTCTCTCTTTGATAATATAATACATTTTATTTCCTAATATGACTAGATGCTCATCATTTGTTATGTGGATATGTCCCCAGGGAACTTGAAAATGTATTAACTTGTTTTGCTTTGCTAGCCAAAGCCTTCTTGTCCTCTGCCCACCATACATTTCTTATAATTGAATACAAAAATCAAAGGGAAAGATGGCTTATTAAGAAGCTTTCTTTGTGAATCATCAAATTAACTTCAGTAGTTCTGCAGGATATAGCTTTTGGACCTTTGTGGGTTTTATCACATGGCTTTGTCTTTCATTATTCTAGGTCAGATACTCCACACTGATGTAGTTTACTTGCATTCTGGTCAAGGATTTCGTGAAGCTGAGAAGATAAAGAAGCTTCTGCTACAGTACAAGTATGCCAAAGAAACTTACACTTACTGCTCTTTCCAAACAAAATGAGTGTCTTCACTGTCCAAATACTTGGTTTTGGGTGGAATAAGAATTTGCTGATATAATGAAATGATTCTTTTTTTTATCTAGTTCAGAGCTTTTTCGTTTAGTGTATGTTCATGCTTTTACAATATGTATATGTTAACCATATGAAATCAAGCCATGGCTATGCATAAGGCTGCATGCTATGAATGTATCCCCATAAAGCTCTGTCAGTCCATTTATTTTTAGGAATAGAAATCAACATTCAGCTAAGGAATAAGTTTAGCCTTATTCTTACAACCTCCACAACCCCCAAACCACTCATCCATCTTTTCCTGTTCCAAAAGCCACATTTAGTTTTTGGAAGAGTTTTATTAAGCAAAGGAAATCCTGCACAGGTAGATCTCCAGATGGAATTGCAAACAGGGGTAGTGTGATTAAAAGTTTATTGTGTCCAACTGTTTTGGGATCTCTGTGGACAGACATCTGGTCTACTGAGTCAGCTGCTGAACTGCCACAGCATACAGTCCAGTTTGTCTTTAAGCATTAGATTGGTTTTAAACAAGGTGATTTGATGGCTGACTGGTTGTGGTGAGGGCAGTCAGAAGGAGTGACCCTGCAAGCTATTGCAAACTATTCCATAAAGGAATTAAGATGATGATTGCTTGGGCTGCTACCCTTTTTCATGACTCATACCGGATGAGGGAAATATGAGATGAAAGTGTCTGAGGACTCTAAATAATACTCCATTTATTAATATGAAGTATCATTTTTGGGTTTTCTGCATATGTTACCACTGTACAATTCCATTACAAATGAGTGAAAATTTTGACTCCTCTCATGAACTGCCATACTGAAAACATGTTAAACACAGCGCGATATTACTAGGAATATGTTCTCATTACCTCTGGGCCTTGTGTTACCTAAAATAGGATGTATTGGCCATTGTTGTGGATGGAATACTACGTATGAAAAAGTTTAAAAGAATGTTTAAGAATAATTTTCCTTTTTTTTTTACCCCATGCAAAGCTGTAGCACTGTCGTGATTGGCAATGGCACGGCCTGCAGAGAAACAGAAGCTTACTTTGCTGACTTAATTATGAAGAAATATTTTGCACCACTGGATGTTGTTTACTGGTAAGATCCCTTTACTGGGATATTAATTTGTCCTACATATTTTAAGAGGTCATTTTAAATGTAATTTGCTTAAGTATTTCTTTTTGTTACTTTGTTTGTGTTTGAGTCAAGCTTGTCCCAACCTTCTAGCCAAAGAAAAAGTTCTGTAGTTCTTTGAAGCATGAGAGTAGTTCTCCCGAGTCAGTAAGAGAGACTCACTGAAGCATTTTATTTTCTCTTCCTGAGGTTTACTCCATTGTTATTATCATTGTAACAAAGTATGTGAGAATAGCAGCACTAACAGCTAAGAACCATTTGGCATAGTGTGTTTATTTCTTGATAAATGAGGTTTAAATGCGAATGATAAAGCTTCTGTTGTCTGACTACGGTATGGAATGCTTGCTAATCCTATGGGTATTAAATGGTCTGGAAATAAATATTGTGTTAATACATAGTAGAGAGTAGTGAAGATAGCTAGTAGAGACTAGTGAAGATATTTATCCTTTTCAACCTTCAAAGTTTATCCATTAGTTTGTTGAATTTGAACTAAAGTATTCTTCTATTGCTTTGGATGGAAACTGTATTATATTGGTTTCTTTTCTCTCATGCAGAACTGCTTTTATTTTTTATAATTCACACCTTTATTTTTTTTCTAAAGCAATTTTTGTGATTTACCTTGGATTATCTTTTGTGCTGACATTTAACAACAGTATTTGGTTGTCACTTCTTAACATACTGAAATCAGTTTTCTGTATTTTTAAAAAAGTTACGGCCTTTCTCTGTTCAAACTGTTGTATACATTCAATGGTGTCTTTTCATAAATTCAGAAGTGATCTTACAGATAGGGTTAACAAATTTATTCCTACTAACTTATGATATCATTTAATTGCACTTGTTCTTTGTTTCTAAGATTGGAAATCCTTGCACAGCAAAACACAGCTCATTGCTGTGTGCAAGGAATTACCAATTGTGTTTGCATTTAAATCTTTTTCCTTAAAGAAGTAAAGGGGCTTGGCAGATGAGGCTGGATTGTTTTATAGTGCTTTAAAACCAAAATCCTAATCAACTTACGTTGTCATTCAGAAAGGTGGCTGATGGAGAGGTGCTGCATACAGACTTTGACTTCCATGGCATATAAAGCTTTTAATGTGATATTGCTTAATTTTTTTTTTGTTAGAAGTGGAGAACAGGGCCAGGAATGATTATAAAACAATAAAAATCTGTTCATCCTGTTATGTCCAGTTCATCATATAGAGCTTGGAATCATGCATTTCCAGGAAAATAAGACAATAATAGAATATATAATTTCAGAAAGGTTTGTGCAATTGGTGCACACACAAATAACAGAGGTTAAAGATAACCAACTGAACACTTAATTGATTGCATGTATGTGTGGAAATAGCCTCTCTACTGCTGAAGTCCTCTACAGTAATTCTAGAATTGTGAAGTTTTTCATTGGCTTCAGTATCTGACTCTAAAGAAACACTTGACTACAATCTTAACTGAGAACAACATTTCACCTCGTTTTTTATTTGTGTGGCAAGAATCAAATTAACGGATTCTCACTTTAAAATATTTTAGTTATATCAGTATCAAAAGATACCGAGAAGAGTTATTAAAAAATAATTTTCTTCATTTTGGTTTCTTCAGTTTGTCTCAGGAATGTTAGTGTTTTATTTGATAACTGGTTTGTCTTTTTTAGTGCTAATAAATATATGAGAAACAAGCAATTAAAATAAAAAAATCCTCAACAATAGTGAATACAAACTGCATATAGTTTTACTGAAGTTTTCCAAAGAGAAGACGAATCAGTAAAGAGAGTAGTAGGAAGTGAGGCATATGACATGACTTTTCATGTGGCTTTAAAACCTATCTGAACTCAGTTTGACAGTTTTTGATTTAAAGCAAATATTTTTCATTATTTTTGTAACTAACATGCTTTCAGATTGATACACCCAACCTAAATAACTACAGAACTTTTTTTTTTTTTAATGTAGTTTCCTTTTTAGAGCTGTGTTTATTGACTTAGATTAGGACTGGACTAGATCCAAGGACAGTCATATCTAGTCTTCAGGTTTTTTGTTACAAATCAGTTTTTGTTACAAGGTTCAATAAATATTCTTGATTATTTATGTTAGTTCTATTGTGAGTTCTTGCCAAAGATACATTGTATTATAACCAAAACAGATGTTCTGGTTTAGACAAGTGTATTTGTTTTAACAGGACCAGAAATGTAAATGAAACAACATTGTGTTCAACATTAACATGGCAGATGATGAACTCTTACGATTTCATTGGCCTTTTTGGATTAAATGAAAATCTTGAAAAAATATTTCAGGAATCTGTTTTTCTTTTCTTGCTGTCAGTTATAGCTATCTGGCATGTAAACTGTGCTAGAGCAGGACAAAATGAACAGTTACATCTTTGTATTTGGCAAAATCAAATCACAATTTTCCTTTCAGCCTCGATGCTTTTGTTGTCACAATACAAACATTCTTATTGGTCTCACTTTTCTTGTGTGCTTGTTCTATTAATGCACACTCAGAATAATGTGTTTCAGTATTTAAAAGAAAGCTTGATAACTGTCATGAATTGTAGTTGTTTTCAGCAAGCAGCAAAGAATGCAGCCAGGCAAGTGTATTTTTTTGTTGTTGTTGTTTAGATGGCTTGGTGTTTAATTTCTCTTCTATTTGGTTTTAAACTTGATACAAAATCCTTTTCTGCCACTTACAGCAAAATCTTTTCTTGCTCTTGAGACTTTATAAGCAATGTAATTAAAAATTCACTGCTGTTTAAGTTCAAACACTTCTGTACTGTGACAAATAGGGGAAAGTCTGTAATGTCTTGTAAAGTTCTCATTGGCTTTTCTTTAATGTTTAAATTGTCTGCTTTAGAATACTTAGAAATGTTCTGCTAAGGTAGAATAGGTCTGTTTTAATACCTTTTGAAGTTGGACCTTGGTGGCAAGAAATTGATTTAGAGATGTTTGTTCTACAGGATTTTAGGTCCGCTTGTATTTTATAGGTGTCTGCACATGCTTTAAATATCCTTTTCAATTTAAATGTGTGTTTTATGTTGTTGAATATCTACATTATGCTCTCTCAGCTTTAACAAATGCCACTTTCAAGTTCCATGCCTCTACATTTCTAATGTTACACTAGCTTAATTCCCATTACTTTTCTGCTTCATAGCACTCACAGTTTGAAAGGGACCTAACATTTGGGTTCACATTATGATAATTAGGTTTCAAAGCAGTGTGGGGGGATTAAGATGTCTGAAGTCTAGTTGCCGAATAAAGTTCAGAACTACTTGTAAAACTTGTTTGAGTGGTTAACAGAAGTGGTTTTATTTATTCAGTGCTCATGCAGCATTAATCCGTATTTCATCGGGTACCCACAGTGCTGTAACTCTAGATATGACCTTGGGACTTAATTTACCCCATCTCAGTTTTCCTTATTAATGTGCCTTGAAAGAGGTACATGAAAGATAGCCAACATCAAAGCTCCTTTTCAAATAAAGTGGTTGATATGAATCCTCTGGTATTTAACACTGTCTGTCAAATGTTTCAGCTGGTTTGCATCCTTTTACAAGCTATTGCTTGCTGCATTAATGCAGTTGTTTCAAGTCTGTTGAGAGTACAAAGGGGGTAGGGATATGTGAAACTATTCCTATTTCTTTTTGATTGTGTTTTCTTTAAGCTGTTATTTTTGTCTGTTAAGCTATATAACTCTACTGATAACACATTTATGTATGCTCACCTACACATCTTAGGTCATTAGATGTCTAATAGAGAAGGTGGAAGGTAGTTTAGAAAGTTTTGGCTGAAGGAATACATACTCAGCAGAAACAATGCACACATCTGAAATGTGCACTGAAGAACCTTTGTTCTGCTTTCATCTCTTTCAAGCTCTAGTGGAGTCATGAGAAGTCCTAAATAGTGAAGAAATAATTTGAGGAACAAACAGGTTTAAAATGTGTGTGAAGAAGGCATAGCCAATGAAAATATTTTAAGTGATGTGGTGATATCCAGCCAAACTGTCTCCTGTCCCTTACTTAAAAGTTATGTTCTGTTTTGATTATTTACCACAGCTGAATGATCACACACACTTCAACTGAAAAATCATTTTCTATATATTTATATTTAGGAGAGACGGTCCTGTAAGCTGGAACCTCACTTAGCATAGAGATGGCTTCCTCCTACTACTCTTGGTTATTCATAACTTTGGATAGTAATTCCTCTATTGTTTGGCACAACACAGACTGGAACAAGTGTCTGCATTTAAAATAATATCCAGTGTTTGTTCCTGATGTATCCACAGACTAGTATCTCTGTGCCAAACCCCTACTATATTCAAAAGGGGAAATTCAAGGCCATCTTTGACTTTGAAGCAAAGATTCCCCTCTGCCCCAACTGTAGATGCCAATACCATCTCTAGCTGTGTTTTTCTGAAGGGGGAGAGGGAAATGAGTAAGCAGTGAAGTTGTCATGGGGCAGGTGAAACAGGAGATAATAATTTCTGACTTGCACAGTGTGGGTTGGAAACTTTTTGAAGCAAATTGTATGAGTGATACGTTTGACAATTATGGAACTGTCCTTGATATTTCAGAGAAATAATTCATACTTTTCAGGATGAAAACAAGGACTAATTGGAAGTGTGTCAATGTAGTTAAAGAGATTATGAATTCCTTCAAGTTTAAAAAAAAATATGTATATGGAGTCTAGACTTCAGCAATGTGAAGGCAGGGGGGCAGGAAGCAAGTGTAACTAGCAAAAGAAATCTAACTCATCAGGAAGAAGTCCGTTTTTCCAGAACACTGGGACATGTCATTTGACTTGCATCCAGAGGAATCTGTGGGAAGATCTTGGGTGACGGAGGAAAGTTATTCTTGCAACTTCCCTTCTGAGAGAAAATCCTAGTGACTCTAATATCAAGGAGTGATTTTAAAAGTTGTGTTCGCAATATGTAAATCTCTTCAGACCCTTAAGGGATACTAAACAAACAGAAGAAAGGGAGGTTTTT